CCCCCCCCCCCCCCCCCCCCCCCAACATTTTTTTTAATTTGTCGTAAATCTGATACACGGTACTATGATATTTCTTTAATCAAGAAACGATTAGTTCTTGAATACATTCCTGAATAGTGAAATTTCATTTATTAACGATTTTTGTTTTATTAAATTCATTAAAAATATCTATTTTTCTTCAGTAAACTATTTTTGGTGTTAAGGATCACATCCGGGTAAATGAAATTCACAGAACGTGCTCCATTCAGACACTCGGCGCTCCTTGAGTTTTTCATAAGACAACTGTCAAAATGTGTAGAGTTTACAGTAATATGCCAAATCAATACTAAACATTCTGTTTTCTCGATAATGTCGGTGCTTTCGTTTCCGAACCATACCGGATCGAATTATTTTGGCATTTAAAAATAAATTATGAAAATTCAGTACATGATGTGTCAGATTCTCTAAAATTTTGAATATGAATGATGGAGGAACGCTCAGATATGTGTAACTTTACTAGATATTGAAGATTGGGAGATTACTCTTTTATTTATTGTAATCCTCATGTGCCGTGGAGTTTTGTCATTCCAGGTTTCCGTAATCCGGATATGTAGCTTATATTACGTTTTTCGTTTAGATATTCATGTAAATTTGATAATTAATTTTGAACGGCCTTATTTGAAAACTTTATTATGTTCACAGCCTGCTACAAAATCAGATAAACTGCTGCAGTACTGTTTGCATGTTATGTACATGTAATTAAAATTATCAGATTTTATCAAACTCCAATCGGGTTTCGAATCATGCTACCATTGCGCTTTGTTGGCTTTGGCTTACAACGCTTTACTTTGTTTAGATACGGAAGTCGCCACAATTCGGCGGGAGTTTGTTAAAGATAGAGTGACGCTAACGACTTTCCATATTTATATGGAACGAACTGTTTAAATTGGAGATATAACCGTTATTGAAGGCTAGATTTATTACAAAATCGACGTATAATATGTAGACTATTTCTTAACCTATAACTTATTTAAGGACAAATGTCTTGAAATCCATTTTATTTCGACCACAGGTACTGATCACAGTTTGTTTACTCCCGGGTTGCTACTTACATGCATCAACTATTGACTTCTATTGAGGTGATTATGTCTATATCTGAACCAGGAAAAGTGATATTGACCGAGACGAAAATGTGGTCATATATGGACCTAAGAACTTTGTATTAACCAAGATTTCGCCTCTGTAAATATCACTTCTTCAGGTTCATATAACTACATATTCAATGAAATAAAAGTCTTCAATTGTTATATTAGATTCTAAATCATCATTTAATCATAAAATAATACGGAACGTATGAAAAACATTCAGAGAAATAGTTTTTTCGGGCAGAGAGTATTGTGACGTTACAACTAAAATGCCGTCATAAAATTAATACTGTCATGCTGTTTCTAAAAATAGTTACACCTAGTCAATATCATATGTCATTGATCTCCACGTGATTATCATTCAACAAATTAGAATGTATGAAATAGTGTGTCAGTTCCTATATGCACATGCATATATAGCAACCCATAGGAAAGAAAACGAAATGGTGACCAGTAACTATGATTTGACCAGTGTTATATACTTTTTTTAATTTATATGTGTAGACAAACAGAGTTATCGAACTTAGTTTGTTTGCTTTCACTTCCTGTCTGGTTTGCTGACGCAAACTTACAATGGAATTGATAAAATCAAAACCAGGTTTCATAGTATCATAGGACGCTTTTCAATATTTATCTCTTGTTTGTGTTTGTCTTTGCATAATAGTCAATAATTTGTGCATTTCAAGTGAACGAATGTGTATGTATTGCTGTAAAAATAATAATCTTCTTTTTTTACTTGTTTGGAGTAATTTACTTCATTAATTCTTCAATAGTCTATTGCCTGGCTAATTTATGCAATAAACACTTTTACAATCTAAACATGTTATGGCAGTTTTGTATATAAGTACATGTATTGATACATGTTTTGACTCGATGTTAAAACCAGCTGAAAGTACATGTTGTTTGACATAACAGTCAGCTATATTAACATTTTAGACTGAAGTGTATACAATTGTGCATTGTGTACGGCGCGCCGTAGACAATGCCATCTTACCGACAATCAATGGACTATGTGTGTAAACGTGTTAGTTCAAAAATGGTTTATTAATTTTTTACGCCATCCCTGGACTGAATATGACCAACACCACTAGCCAATTCTCTTGAACAAAGTTTTCATTTAAAAACCCTGCTCCGCTGCAGTGTGTTTTCCCCTATACACAGTTACCTCCCCTAAATGTAGCACAGTTTGTCTAGGCCACTTCCGTTGACCGGGTAGCTCTTGATTAGCTAGAGAGATATAATAACAATCTTAAGTGCAGGGTCCGTATTCATGAAACCATTCTCATGCTCAATTTCTTTTTTCTAGTTATAACTTAATCAATAAGTTAATCTTAATCTACAACCCCGAGACAACCAACCAAGTAAGCTACTGCCCCGGGACAACCAACCAAGTAAACTACAACCCCGAGACAACAAACCAAGTAAGCTCTACAACCCCGAGACAACAAACCAAGCAAGCTACAGCCCCGAGACAACCAACCAAGTAAGCTACAACCCCCAGACAACCAACTAAGTAAGCTCTACAACCCCGAGACAGCTATCCAAGCAAGATATCAGACCCTAACAAATCAGCCCAGTAATCTACAACTTCGGCGAGTCGAACAACCAATATACCGACCCAGACAACTGAACAAGCAGGCTTCAACCTTAAACAACCAACTATGCAAGATATAAGACCCTTACTAGCCAGCTACGACCGCTTAAACAAACCAAGCTACAACTGGTCAAGCAAGCAACAACTCCAGAAAACCAACAAAGCAAGATGAGCAACCGTTACCAGCCATTTAAGTAGACAACAGCCACAAACAACCAACAAAGCAAGTTGTGAACACAGACAACGAATCAAGTCATCTACAACCAAAAATAACCAACAAAGCTATAACAAAGCAAGCTAGAAACCAAAGACAACCAACCAATCAAACCACAACCAAAAATATACCAACCAAGTTACAACCAAACACAACCAACCATAAAACATACAACCACAGACAACCAGTCAAGCGCACTACAACCAAAAACACCTAACAAAGCTACAAACAAAGACAATATACCAACCAAGTGACAACCAAAAAACCTACAACCACCGACAACCAGTCAAGCGCACTACAACCAAAAACAACTAACAAAGCTACAAACAAAGACAATATACCAACCAAGTGACAACCAAAAAACCTACAACCACCGACAACCAGCCAAGCAAGAGACAACTCTGCCAGCCAACGAAACAAGCTACAATCCCAGTCAATCAATCGCAAACAAACGATACAACCTAGCCAGTCAATCAATCAAGCTGCAATGTTACATCTCAATATTAGACTATGCAGTGTATGACAGGGGAAAGTGTATACGTGTGTACTATTTAACTAGTAATGAGTGTCTGTGTGTATTAGCAAATGAGTATGATCGGTAGAACACCTTGTAATAGTAGTTATTGAATTATATTCTTCAACCTAAAAGGCTTTTATATTTGAAACCCAATCTATACTCTACTTAAAGCTAAATACTATTACAAATTCCTCTCTTTAAACCCGGTCTTAAAATTGACAGCTGTTAAATGGTTATGTGTATAATTTAATGTGTTTGTAATTTAATCTCTAAATATTTTATCTTTGTTTATTCATGTAAGTAGTTTTATTTCATTAAAAAAGTTAAAGTGACTAATAGACCCATTTTAGGTGTATACGTACTGGCTATTAAGTTTCATGTTCATAATATATTTTACAGTGTAAATGAATACGGTTCTTGTAATAGAAAGAACCAATTTCAAGCTGCACCACGTAATTTCGGAACAGTTCGCTTCAGAAGCAATGTTGAACCTTGTCATTGTGTGCTTTAGTCTATATACCAATAATGAAATTAATCATCAATAATAAAATCGACACTCACTACAACTAGTCGAAACATTATCAGATGCACGGTATCGCTGATTAGATCAAGTTTAATTTTGTTTGCGTTCGAATGCACGTAATAAAATTTTAAAAAATCTGTTTAATCAAACCATTGATCTTTGTGGCAAGAGGAGTGGCGGATCACGATGTCTTTCTATTTTTGTGTTTTTGTGTTTTCTAGGTATCCATTATTGTCTTTTCGTGTATTGATTTTAAGTTCTTATCTTTCCTTCGTGTGTAAGTGACGTAAGGTATGTTGTAATCTTGTGTTGATGACGTTTAATATTTTGTCCTCTTGTGTTGATGACGTCTGATTTTTTGTCTTCTTTTGTTGATGACGTATGATATTTTGTCCTCTTGTGTTGATGACGTCTGATATTTTGTCCTCTTGTGTTGATGACGTATGATATTTTGTCCTCTTGTGTTGATGACGTATGCTATTTTGTCCTCTGGTGTTGATATCATGACGTATGATATTCTGTCCTTGAAGAAATGTCTCGTGGGCAATTCACAGATATTTGAGAAAAGCATTCAATTTACAAATATAAAACTGTTCCTGTTGATAATCAACAAACACTTGTAAGACCCTGATTAATTTTGTTCAAAGAAAAGCATTGTCGTACTTTTAAAATAATATTAATTTAAGCAGAAAGGTTACCAAATGTC